TGCCAACTTCGTGACAGCATTGGGCCAGGTCACACTGGCAGGGGCCTTTGCCTCCTACTACTGGGCCTTCAAAAAGCCTGACGACATCCCAGCTTTCCCTGTCTTCAACTCTTTGGGACGGGCCCTCAGGTGCGTGATGAGAGAAATAGTTGCCAGTTTTTAGCACACTTTGCAAAAAATTTTTGTATGCTCTATATCGCACACTTATTTTTCAGGTATCACACTGGCTCTCTGGCATTTGGTTCCCTCATTCTTGCCATCGTTCAGGTCATCAGGGTCATATTGGAGTATCTGGATCAGAAGCTGAAAGGTCTCACTACTTCAGTGTTTCCAGCTCAGATTTCTTTTAATTATCTTAAAATGTCTTTTGATCTCGATTCTATCTCACTTTTGGCAAATATTACATGCTGACTGACAACCAAAATGTCTAAAATACATCAAAGAAACAACTGTGGGAAGTAATTATGGAATACTTCATCCATTGCTTTCTGTCTGTTATGCGCATTTGAATCTTGATTTGCTTCCTCCAGGTGCCCAGAATAAATGTGCAAAATTCCTACTCAGCTGCCTAAAGTGCTGCTTCTGGTGTCTGGAGAAATTCATCAAGTTTCTGAACAGAAACGCCTATATTATGGTACGTTTTCATTTCCCTTTTGCAAATTTTTTAACCTTTTTGTGGATTGTTTCTGGCTCGGGAGCATCAGTAGTGCAAATTTTATGTTGTAAGTGCAAAAAACATATTTGCTGAAACCAATTTGGCGTATTGTTTTTTCAGGTGGCGATATATGGTAAAAATTTCTGTACATCTGCCAAGGATGCATTCTTTCTTCTGATGAGGAACATTATACGGTGAGTGTTAAATTCATCTAAATCTTTTAGACAGTGTTTTGTGTGAATAAACACAATAAACAGTCCGAATGTACTTGTTTTCTAGTGTGGCTGTTCTTGACAAAGTGACAGACTTCCTCTTATTTTTGGGCAAACTCCTCATCGTTGGAATTGTGGGTGAGTGATTTGGTCAGATATCACGTGAATCCAGAGGATATTTGAGTGGAACTGACTTCTCACACTCCAGTACACCAGTGTAAAACAGCACGCACTAACTGTTTCTTCCTCTTTTCAGGAATTTGTTCTTTCTTCTTTTTCACGGGCAAGATTAAAATAGTGGAGGACGCTGCTCCATCTCTTAATTATTACTGGGTGCCTATACTGGTGAGCGATCTTGAGTTTTATCAATCCAGCAATACCAGATTTTCCATTTGCAAGATCAAAATGTAAATTTTCCAGGTTGTAATAACTTCCTCTCCCTTCATTTACAGACTGTGGTGTTTGGCGCCTATCTAATTGCTCATGGCTTTTTTAGTGTATACGCCATGTGTGTGGACACACTCTTCCTCTGTTTCTGTAAGTGTGAAGCAGCTTTATTTATTTCACGAGATAATACGTAATGAAAAACATAAGTTGTCAATTTGTTGGCTGAGTAACAAAACAAGAGTTCTGATAATAGCAGCTTGTTGTGTTAGATTTTTATTGGGTGTTCACAGATGTTCAACTTGTTTTATTGCTCAACTTCAACAGCTAAGCACATATGCAGCACTCAAACAGCCTTTTTTCCTTTCCTTTAAATGTTGTTCTTTTCTGTAATGCAATAGAGAGCAACAGTGACCAATGGATTCCACATTCATTTTCTCTATATTATAAAAAAAAAAAAAAAAAATCAATAGAGTTCCAAGCCTTGATCCAAACCAACTAGCTCTGAGACACAACGTATGCTTTTTTCAGTTTGTGTATGAGGGAATGAACTATTCATCCAATGAAGCTTTGTAAAAGATGGCAATTGATTCAGGAAAGACAGTATATGAAATTATCTACAAATATAAAAATACCATATGTGACCCTGGACCACAAAACCAGTCTTAAGTAGCACAGGTATATTTGTAGCAATAGCCAACAATACATGGTATGGGTCAGAATTATCGATTTTTCTTTTATGGCAAAAATCATTACGATATTAAGTAAAGATAATTTTCCATGAGGATTTTCCTACCACAAATATATCAAAACTTAATTTTTGATTAGTAATATGCATTGCTAAGAACTTAATTTGGACAACTTTGAAGGCGATTTTCTCAATATTTAGATTTTTTGGACCCTCAGATTCCAAATGATCAAATAATTGTATATCAGCCAAATATTGTCCTATCATAACAAACCATACATCAATGGAAAGCTTATTTATTCAATCTAAATTTTAAAAAATTGACCCTTATGACTGGATTTCAGGTCCAGGGTCACATTTATGTTATATACCAGATCATATATAGCCATATATACCATACATAAGTTTTTTGAGAGTGTAGAGAAAACCAATTTTGTCATCCACACTGATTCATAGGAGTGGGCAATCACTGCTCATTCCCATTTCCATGGTAACAGCGGCTTCTCTGATTGGTGGAGCTTTTTTCAGGACATAGGTTATGTAATTCTCAATTGGCTATTAAACACGTTTTTTGAACTCACATTTATGGCTTCTACAGAAGCACATATCATTGTTTCCTCAGAGCTCATGGTTTGTCTTTAAGGCATTTCTGTATGGAGAAAATGACTGGGATTTTACTTGTGGGACTCACTGTTGACATATCTGCATATCACAAATGCTTACAGGGGCTTTTGGCTTGCTTCATGTCTAACCATTTCCTTCTTTCTCTCTCTTTTTCTCTCTTCAACATGATTTTGTCCAATCATGTCCTTGTGCTCCTTTCTGCTACGTGCTTTGTCAAAACACTAACATTTCAAAATAACCATCACACGCAATGTAAAAAACTCAAGGTGAAGATCTGGAGAGAAATGACGGTTCCTCCGACAAACCGTTTTTCATGTCCCCCGAGCTACACCAGATTTTGTCAATTGAAAAAAGCACAGAGGAAACGGACCGTGCCGATGTACCCGTCGTACAGGTGCAAGCCGAGGAGGAAATCCCGCTGCAGGAGAATGGAGAGGTGCAGCTTAAAGAGCAGGGCGTCCTAAAACAGGAGCAGGAAGAAGAGATGCCACTAAACCAGGAGACGCACGTTGAAGTGCCGCCCCAAGAAACACAACCTCCAGAGGCACCCGCAGCCGATGAGGAGAAACCCGAAGAGCAGGTTACAACCCAAGAGCCTGAACCGCCACAAGTGACCCCACAACAAAACGGACCCCAAGAGGTGGACGCTGAGGACAAGGAGGAGCAGGTGGCCCAACCTCAAGCAGAACCACCACAGGCCGAGAACCAACAAGAACAGGAACCAGAGGAACCGAAGCCTCAAGAAAACGGACCTCAAGAGAGCGAGACCCTGCTCACCCCTCAGGAGTAGCTGGACAACTGAAGGTGGAGTCGTTAAACGTTTCAGAGAAGCCTACTGATTTGGGAACTGGTGCACTTTGGTGGCTTTGAGAAGCCATTAGTATACATTGGAAAGTACCTCCTTCATTCGCGTCATAATGTTTACTCAATCAATCAATTTTGAGAACTGTCTCTTAATCAATAATCACTGGTCATAATGAATGGCATGACACAAAATTGGACAGAAACAGGCTTGTACTCGAAGTATGAGCTGTTTGATTGACAACTGGTTATGTGAACCTAAACCCTATTAGATATGCCTACATAGCACTTGTAGAATGTGACTGTGTTTGTGTTTTATGTAGAACGTTTTAATGTAAGGACATATAAAAGTGTAATGTAGGTGCTTGACTTGTGCCTAAATATCGTTACTTATCAATGTCTTAATCATATTGAAGAATGCAAGAAGATTTTGCAGCATCGCTATGTTTACAGCAACAACAACAAAAAAACATCTGTTTACAGTGATACCAGCCAAGACCAAACAATGTCATTTTGTAAGAATTTGTGCAAATGTATTTGAAAATCGTCTTAATTTTATGCCCTAATGTGATAATTTTATGATGCAGATGAACAAAAAATTAAAAAAGTGCCACCGAAAGCAAGTCAACTTAAAAACGAATCAATCAAAGAAAGAAAAAAAAAATGTAACACCCTTCTATTTTGGTCTGCTGTGACTGGTTATTGTATCGACAGATTGCAACCTTTTCAATGCCTGATATTTGTCGCTGTTTGCCACTCTGTTGCCTCTTTTTCTACCTCTGTGCTTCACTTTTCTCAATCTTTGCATGTTGGTAATGTGATCTCCCAGTGCTTTAATAAATCCAACTCTCTCTTTGTTGAGATCTCAAGCCTTTTTTTTTTTGCTTTCAAGGCGCTGCAACTATTGTTGCCATTTATACTTTTTGGCACGTTTCATGTTAAGTTCATGCTATTTTTTGTCTCAACCTAAATTATTCCAACAGTGGAGGATCTGGAACGCAATGATGGCACAGCAGACAGACCATACTTCATGCCAGAGAGACTGCTCTCCATCCTCAAGAAGTCCAATGAGGGGGTGAAAACAGTGGACTAAGGAAAGAAGGAAAGGCTTCTAGAGAAACAAAGAAGTGTAGGGACAGAAAAATAGAGATATTTGCCATACTTGCACTGATTTTATAGCTCAGGCACCAGTGATTACAGTCATTACAGCCAAAAGTGTTAAATATTTGTTACTTTTGTTTTTGCTTACATTACATGGGTTTGTATTTGTATACATTATGCTTTATTAGACTAGGCACAACTGTCCTAATATCTTTTTCAGTTTCCTTTGAATGTCTCTGTTACTGAATTACTTTAAATGCGTTAGGCCTATTCTCGTGATGACGGTTAATGAGAACCATTTTTATACCTGACAACGTTTGAATATAATGAAATTTCATTTTGATATGTTTCTGCAGTGTTTTTCAGCGCGTCCATTTGACGTAGCCATTTTTGTGTTACTACTTGTATTGTTTGTTGCGGAGTGTAAATAATTCTGTGATGTTGGGGAGAACTAATAAATATTAATTAGGTCAAGAACGTAATGTATTATTTTCCCGGCGCGTAATGGTACGTAACTTAATATTCATGAGACAACGATACTTAGTTCAGTTACTAGGCAACCAGTTGAAAACACAAACGAGGCTCTTGTGGGCAAGGCTATAGTGGGGGAAGAAATCCATCTATAAACACCAATATAATAAATGTTAATAAAAATGCCCGCCACGTCTGTCTCAGAGGACACCGAGCCCCCTACCCATGATGAAATTTCGGAGCTCCAAAGAAAAATTCATCTTCTGAGTACGTTTTTATTGTGGATTTCACCGTTTATGCTGAAGCGGTTAAGTTACAGAAGTAACGGTAATGGAGTAAGGTTTCCATTGTTTTATTATTATTTTCATCATTAATTATTTATTCTCGAGGATGCAAGCAGTCAACTTGGAGTGGTTTTGTAACGGTTTAATACCTTTGTATTAATTTTAAATGAAACAAATAGCGCAATAAAATTGTTTACAGAAATGTAGTGTTGCATGACATTACACTCAACTTCACATTTTGCTCGATTAATGGTTGTTTTTCCCTCACTGTCCACTAGATGGAGACTATTCGATAGCGCATATCGAAAACTCTCAGTCTGCCAAGAACATAGAAACTATCCTGCAGCTGAGACTTGGGAATGCAAACCTGCACAAGAAACAGCATGAGGTCATGAAACACATAAGTAATATTACAATTAAGCCATCATTTAAAGTATAGGTTTAACATATGTATTGATGCATCCATTGGTCATGGTGTCCAGGGAGATGAACAAGTTATCAAGGATGTTTTTCAAGGCCATGGGATGGAGAAAGAATCTTTCAGGAACATGTCTGTGAAGGTGAGGTTAAATGGTTCGCCCAAAAATGTCAATGTATGCCATCCAAGGTTGTTTCTTCGTCAGAACAGAAATTTAACAGTACATCACTTGCTCACCAGTGGATCCTCTGCAGTGAATGGGTGCCGTCAGAATGAGAGTCCAAACGGCTGATAAAAACATCACAATAATCCACATGTAATCCATATGACTCCAGTCCGCAGTAAAAAGCTGTGTGTTTGTGATAACTCCATCTACATTTTTAAACTGTTTCTTCTGGCTAAAATACGAGTCCTCTATCTATAATATTGCTTTCTCCAGTAAAAAATTGTCTCGTCTGAATCAGGAGAGAAATATTCAAAGATCAAGCACCATTTAAAAGAAGAAAGAAAAAAAACATTCTAAAGCAGGTGTTGGCAGATGTTGATGTGATAAGACTTTTTCATTGGAGTTATGGATTATGGACTATGGCTATTTTGGCCAGACGTGACAGTTTAAATTTAAAATACCTTAATGATAAATTTGTTTCTTACAAACAGCTTTTTATTTCATAAGGTGTTAATTGATGGACTTGGAGTCTTGTGGATTACTTGTGAATTTAGACTCTCATTCTGACGGCACCCATTCACTGCAGAGGATCCACTGGTGAGCAAGTGATGTACTGTAATGGTCAATTTCTCCAAATCTAGCAAAACAAACTCATCTACATCTTGGATTGCCTGAAGGTGGGTCAATTTTCAGCACATTTTCATTTTTGGTTGAGAGACATTTCTTTATGGAAATCAATGTGTGGATGATTCAATAAGTACTTAAAAAAATCGAATTACAAATATGTGGAATATTTATGAAACAATAACTGAATGTTTTGGACAGTACATTCTTACTACAAATAAAAAGTGAAATAAAATATAAAAATTGAATGTTTTGTACAGTGTATCTATTTCAGTTATTTACTACAAAAAAAGATTCACTGCTGGCAAGAGCCCGGTAAATAGCTCATAGTTACATAATCACCTGCATATAATTTGTGGTCCAGAAAGTTGTTTTAGACTCTCCTCACTATTGACAGAGGTCTTTGTTGTGCAGGTAGCTCAGACGGTGCTGAAGAAGCAGGTGTGTGATAAAATGAAGAAGCAGAATGCTATGAAACACACCACTCAGACACAGAAGCAGCATTTAGAGGACTTGAAGTTCCTGATATTTAAGCCACAGAGCAGTAGTCCTTTGCCTGACACCCAGAAAGGAGAGGAGGAAAAGGTAGAAATTGTCTTTTTTTTCTGGGCATTTTGAATGAACATTGATGAATCTTAAAAAATATTTGTCCAAGACATTATTATTGTGTACCTGTTGTACAGAAACTGCGATTTCTGGAAAACAGTTTGGAGAAATCAGAAATACCATGAAGCAGTGCACATAACGCGAGGATACAGCAAGCTGAAGGAGCACCTACAGGTATCAGAGCAGCTAAAGACACAGCACAATAAACCCACGATGTTGTGTATAAAGCACGATACCTCATAAAGGAAATGGGAAAAAAGAAACCAATTATTTATGCAATTATGTAAATATGTTACAATATCATTTACCATTTTTATTGTATTTTTGATCAAATAAATACAGCCTTAGTAAGCATAAGAGACTTTCAAAAACATTAAAACATCTTACCAATCCCATTGAAGTTTCTAATTATACTCTGTTCTGTTTCTTCAGGAAGAGAGTCTTACATTTCAACCTCAGCTGGACAAGATGGAGACAGAGGTCTATTGGCAGACACAAGTGCTCAGAGACCTACAGGTCATGAACAACAACGTTCTCCTGTTCAAGGATGCAGCCAAGGTAAAGACAAAGCATTTAATGAATAATTGAAAAATGTAATGAGATAATAAAGCATATGTGTAAGTATGCCAAAGTAAAGGTCATCCAGATATGATGCTGCTAGTAATGTGTGTGTGTGAGTGTGTGTGTGTGTGTGTTTTCAGGCTGAGCTGCAACTTCAGGAGGAGCAGGTGTACCGAGAGCGCAGAGAAAGAGAGAAAATCCTCTCCCGCTACAAAAAGCAGGCGGAGGAGAGGATGGCTCAGGCAGAGAGGATGAAGAGAAGAGTGAGCATCATCTGCTGCAATTATATCTACAGCAACTATAATACAGCTAGCAATGCAATACTCTAATAGCATAAAAATATGTGTTATACTCGAAGCGCTTCTCATGTGAAGTGCACAGGAGACTGTAGTTCTTGCAATTGATGGTGATAGCATATTGTTAAGCTCACAACCCAAATATTGGTTAAAATAGACTGTTTTTACTACTTTTAATAATTATAAGTATATACGTATATCTTTTTCAACATTTATTTTTGCCTTCTCTGTTTGGTCAAAAGTAAGTCTCTTAGATCGTTTTTGTCAAGTTTAACCAACCGTCTCTTCCCTATCTGACACATCCAGCCCCAGTGGGTGTCCGTGAACCCTGATGAGCTGAGCAGTGAGGCCCCGCGCACTCCCACCACAGTAGGAGAGGAAGAAGAAGAATCCATCTCTACTTTTGAAGAAGCTTTCCAGCACGCCAAAGAGGCCACTGGAGTCACAGACTCACAGGTGAGGGCAGACAGTATTAACCCTATGAAGACTACTGTATCATATATTTGATATACAAAATTATCAACATGATCAAAACTTTTTTTATATCGATAGTAATATTTTACAATGAACACTTACCGGACTGATGCAACTTAGGTTAACTTCCATACAGCACTTTTTTTTTTGTTGAAAAAATGTGAGTAACAAATATGACCCAAATATGACCCATTAGGCTTTTGAGGATTGTATTTCATTATGTTTTAAAACTAAAGAGCTTTCAACATAAAACTAAGCATTTGAATAACATCTTACTAAGACATCTCATTGGGAGAAATAGACTGAAAGCTAATATTTATATCATTTTAAGTAAGTAGTCTGTTATACTGTTATCTCATGGATTTACTGTGCATTACGAGCTGTCAGAATTTTTGCCCATATAAATATCAGGAATGCACTAAATTGCCTCTAAATAAAACTGGTGTTTTTCCTCCTTAAATATGACCTCCATATTCTCACTGTATCATACTATATGAGCCATAACAGCCTGACAGCAAAAACACATCAACAAACTTATTTAATATTTTGTCTAAATCTTCAATAAACTTCTATTTAAAAAAAAAGATTGTTTTATATGACAGGCTTTACTGGATTAAACCCATAAAGAGTACTCTTTTTTTTATTTACCACCTTGTTTTAAATGATTTAGATTCTTTATGTTCAGGTAAGAAGTTCTTGTGTTGAGCAATGTTTATTCATGATATCTGTTATAATAGGAAATAGTGGACAGGTTTATCTCTCAGGGAGAGACACAGGAACATTTGGAGAAGATGAAGGCTGAAAATGAGAGAATGCTGCTTGAACTGAAGGAAGAAAGGAGTATGTCACAGACTCAGTGTCAGGATGTAAAATACTCACGAGAAACTGAATTCTCAAGGTGAGAGCAGACATTGTGTATGTTGTATGAATACTGTGGTATCACTTGACACGCTCTGTTATTGTGACTGAATGCTCTGGTCTAACCATTACATTTTCTCAATGGCATGATATAATGACTTTATTGTCATCGGTTAGCTCTCTAATTCTCTTTTTGATTGTTCAGTGTCCGACAGATCCTGCAGGACTGTGAGCATGACTTGCAGCAGGAGCAGCAGCATTGTGATGCAGCTAAAGATGGCCTGGAGAGACTCTCACATACACTAAACACTGTCAAAGCAGGAGTGCAGCAGCTCAGTGACAAACTACAGCCCATACCCCTGGTACTAATGAATTCTGTCAAATCTGTTAAACATGCTCCACAAAACATGCCTTTTCGTCACCTGGGTAATGATGTGTTTTTAATAGAAGGTTTCTAAGAATTTTAGATTTCTATGTAGTTTCCTAGAACTTAAAGGGGTCAAAACATTTTGTTCAAACTTGATTTTCTTCCCTGAGGTCCATTTATAATGTTAGTCAAGGTTTCTTATTACATTATAACGGTTTCATTTATTTGTAATTTATTTGTCCTTTTCCACCCTCTCTGACCCTTAAATCGAAACAGGCTGTTAGCGAAAGTACATTTAAAGGGTTAGTTCACCCAAAAATGAAAATTGGCTTGTGTTTTACTCACCCTCGAAGCATCCTAGGTGTATATGACTTTCTTCTTTCAGACGAATCCAGTTGGAGTTATATTAAAAATTGTCCTGGCTATTCCAAGCTCTATCATTGCAGTCAGCGGGTGTTGCAGTTGAACAGTCCACAAGTCGTCAAATAAAGCGCGCGCACTCATAATAAAACGTGCTTCACACGGCTCCGGGGACGAATAAAGGCCTTCTGTAGTGAATCCATGCGTTTTTGTAAGAAAAATATCCATATTTCAAACGTAATAAACACTTTTCTCTCACTTTCGTTATCTTTCATATGCGGAAGGCGTATGACGTATGCGCGCGCCTCTGAGATATGCTAGTCTCATGAGTTTGTTTATAGGAGCAAAGGAAGCAAAGTTTCCTTACTTTAGCAAAGGAAAACCAGTCTCCTCTTGGCTTATATCGAAATCCTCTGACATTTTTCTTTGCAAATCTTCGGTTTGTACTTCTAATTCGGGACCGGTGTTTTGTTTTGTTCTCTCTCCACGTTCGTCACTAATCACGCAACGCCGCGCGTCTTACGTCATCCGCCGGAACTGCTATGACAATTGGCGGAAATGATATAAAAGTGTTTATTACATTTGAAATATGGATATTTTTCTTACAAAAATGCATGGATTCACTACAGAAGGCCTTTATTCGTCCCCGGAGCCGTGTGAAGCACGTTTTATTATGAATGCGCGAGCTTTATTTGACGACTTGTGGACTGTTCAACTACAACACCCGCTGACTGCAATGATAGAGCTTGGAATAGCCAGGACAATTTTTAATATAACTCCGACTGGATTCGTCTGAAAGAAGAAAGTCATATACACCTAGGATGCTTCGAGGGTGAGTAAAACACAAGCCAATTTTAATTTTTGGGTGAACTAACCCTTTAATGACTTCGTTATGATTGACTAACCTATTCGCATGTCAAATGAGTAGTAATACTACATACAGTTGCAGTTTAATGAATGTATTTTAATTCTGATACAGGACTTCTAAAAGTTACAGTATGTTTAATAGCACATCATACTCTTGTGTACACTACCATTCAAAAGTTTTGGGTCGGTAAGATTTTTAAAATGTTTTTGAAGGTCTGTTATGCCCACAACGGCTGCATTTTTAGATCAAAAACACAGTAAAATAATAATATTGTGATATATATATTATAATTTAAAATAACCATTTTCAATTTTAATATATTTAAAAATGTAATTTATTCCTGTTATGCAAAGCTGAATTTTCAGCAGCCATTACTTTAGTCTTCAGTGTCACACAATCCTTTAGAAATCATTCTAATATGTTGATTTGGTGCTCAAAAACCTTTTCTTATTATCAGTGTTAAAACTGATAATAAACAACATAAAACATTATGTTGTGCATAATATGTATTATTTGATGAATAGAAAATTGAAAAGCACAGAATTTATTTGAAATAGAAATATTTTGTATATAATATTTTGTTTCATATTTGATCATTTTAATGTGTCCTTGCTTAATAAAAGTAATAATTAATTTTTTTAAAATCTGAAATCTACCCCCCAAATTTTGAACTGTAATATATAAGAATTATTAATTAAAAGTGACCATAGATATTTTCTCTGTGGTTTGTGATTAAGGAAAAGTTTTTATTTATTTATTCACGAAATATATGTAACTGAGCAGTTTTCCATTACTTTCCATGGTTTTTGGCAGATGAAGGATCCATCACCACAGCTGCCTTTAGACTCAGAAGAACACATGCTGCAGCTGATGTCTGAGGCTGACCAGAAACTGATGCTGCTAAAGGAGGAACTACAGGGCAAAGATCTGGCAACCATCGTGAAGGAGCTGGAGGAAGAAGAGGTGAGGAACACTGATTAGTCATGTTGGTGTAATTATATTTTGGCTTGTTGAAGATGTGTTACTGGTGAAACATAATTATTATGTTACTTTAACTGTTTTGTTTACTGTAGGAATATGTGGCATATTTTATTTTTTGCAATCTATAAATTAACCTTTACTAATATTTTACTGTTGTCTTTTTATGCTCCCCTGCAGTTCCATGCCAGAATAGCAGGGAAACTACCACAGTACAACACTCGCATTCAGCTACCTGAGACCCAGAAACAGGACTTTTTTGATGGTGCGACACTACCTCATATTTCCATGGCATCCCATTTCAACCACATAAGAAAAAAAAATCATGCTTTGGTATGGAAAAAAAAGTCAAATATGACATAAAAAGTCAAAATTATGAAATGCTAAGTAATAATTATGAGATAAAAAAAGACAAAAATAGATCATTAAAATGTCGATGTCGCAAATATCAGGATGATGTCTTGATATTATGTTAAAAAAAAAACTCAGTATAAAAAAAAGAAAACCTTACTTAATGATATTTACTATTAATAATTATAACAATTTTGTATTTAAGATCACATGTATTCAAAGAGTAAGGATAATATGTTCGTTTTTATTTGATGGTTACACCACATGACACACCACATAAATTTATACTTTTTGTTGAAAATTGTATAAAAGATTTTTAAAACCATATGAAACCAACATGGATACAAAGATTACATACCTCTACAAACTTAACATACTATTTGCATTTTAAGCTTGTTTCAATCCTGTTTCTTTATCTTAGACGCTCTTATTTGCACCAGTGATGATCACTGGTTTGTGAACTTGGAAAATTCTTGAGCAGGCATGGCCATGTGTTTTTACTCTGGTTCGCACAGTTCAAAAGCGCCCTCTTATCAAGAAGATGTTCAACCTGTGCTCTTATCTCTTGATCTGTACACTGTGTGGTACTTAGAAGCTCACCCTCCTGGTGTACACAGTGTTGGTGGATTTGTTAAGATGTTAGGAGTCAGATCACCTTCACGTGCGATTGTGTCTACTCTAAGGATGCTGTTGATCGGGGCAGGGTCCAGGCATGGGCAGGGGTGGGCTAAGCCCAACCAAATGACAGTCTTGCCCACCCAATCAGGATTAGATAAAGATTGCGTTAATTTTTTTTATGCAATGATCAAAATCAATCTGAAGTGGACTGTATTTTAAGAAGTTTAAGATATAGCTGTAGACTGCCCCAACAATAATAAAATAACACCAGAAAATTGCAGCATTTTTCTTTTATTAGCTGAATGCAAGGTGCGCTGAATTCACGCGGAGATTCAGTCTGTTGCAGAAAAGCAGCAGAGGATGACAACTAGTGAAAACGGGCAGAAATATTTGCGCGCTATCACAGGGAGTTTGAGAGTTACGGGGAGTTTAATAGGCTACATGAATAGATGTATCATAGCCTACCACTGAGTGGTTTTAATGTTTTAAAAAACCTGCTCATATAATAGCCTAATGTGCATGGACGGGGCAAGAGCATAATATAAGCATCTAAAATGCATGTAGACTATACAGTTCAGTTGAAAGCTTACCCCTTTTGGATTGCTGTTAATGCTTTATGTAAGAATGAAAACTGAAAGTAAAGAGCTTGTGCGGTGAAAGTTGCGTTCGTTGCAAGAGTCGGCTTGACTGTATAGCGTTCCCCGACATAAACGACCAACAATATCCAGTGATGCAAACTAATCAACCCTTTTTTTGTCAAATTCCACGGTTTTGAATGTAAAGTAGGTCTGTTTATAATAATAATCAATTTATAATTGATTATGACGACAATAGCATTGTTCTGTTTTGCGTTTTCACCAATAGGCCTACAACTGAAATTGAGTGGGTGCATATTTTAAAATAAAAATATTATTTGCAGTTCATATTGATTACTTTACAAAAATTCGTATTCTTTTACTGTACTTTTTTCTTTTTTAATTTATTCCCCTAAATCCATTTAAATCCTTTATTTATTTAGTTTTTTTAAATAAATACTATTACCATAGTGGTCTGGTCTTTATATTTTCCAACAATTAACAATTGGTCCCTCCAATGTTCTAGACATGAGCCTTGTTTGGTTTAAATAAAAAAGTTAGTTGAAAAGAGTCACCAGTGTAGAAACAATGATCTAGAGAAAGAGAACAAAGAGGGCTTTTTTTTACTATTCAATAAAGAAAAAAAAGTTTATTTTACTGTGAAAATGCATGATATTCTAGGCTGCCCATGAAAGCTTTTTTCAGTGTACATATAATATAGTTAATATAGCAGTATGTACAGTATAAATATCTTCTATTCTATGTGACGATATGACGACTAAAAAATGCCCACCCAGGATATCTGCCAGCCCACCCTTCTATAGCCATCAAGAACCGGGCCTGCTGTTGATCCATATGTATAAGAAACAATAACAGAACTGATATGTTTAGCAGAGAAAGGTGATGCACATCTTACACACCTGCATGTCTTATCTGTCAACAGATGAGGAGGACAGCGGCGTCGATGACGGTGATGTCACCAACCATGTCACACTGAAGCACCAGTCACAGTCAATCATTGACGCAAACACCAGGAGGAAGACTCGCATCAAAAAGAGGAAAGGCCAACTCTGATCTGATCCAGTAAAAGGAAGAGAGACCAATTTTAAAACATGATCAGCTGTAGCAACACACTTCCTGGAAGCTTTATCTCCATTCGTCTGCACATTCATGTTTAAGAAAATAAATGAATTATGGAGCTGATGTAGTTTGATTTCAATAAATGTATTAAGCCGGGCATACACTGTGCGATTTTCGCCCGATTTTGATCCGAATTCTGACTCGTGCAACTCTTTTTTGAGTCGGGCCGAATGTCAGCTTTGTCGTGCGTCGTTTGTCGTGTAGTGTACAGGGGGAAACGAGAAGCGATAAGTCTCTCCCGCAATCGGATGGTTGGATGAATTTCTGACAAGTTAAAAAATTTGGTCGCCCCTCGTGAGGGTATTGCACAGCTGATAATAGCAATGGTAATAATTTAATACATTAATTGGAAATGACAAATCCTTTTGATATCACTTGATATGATGCTTCTTTTTTTTTTAGATATCTCTGGCTATCGTCCATATACACGGTTATCGTCTGCACATTTTGAGTATTTCACACGTATAGTGTGAGCACATAAATCGTGCTCGACAATCGGACCATACAGTGTGTGAGTTGGTACCTTAATGAAATCGCACGGAAATCGCAGTGTATGCCCGGCCTAACGTGACACCTGTTGAAGATAACAGGTGCGTTTGACTTCATGCGGCGCTGCGCAGACCGATCGGTGGCTGACTTCAAGCAGTGCATGCCGGTTAGAAATTTTGTCGACTACACGTCACTATCACGTGTGGCATCAAAGTACCGCAATAGCGTTTCGAGAGCAGCCAACTGACTCAGCTGGCGCAGCTTTTTCAGCGTTTCACGATTGGCCAGATTCAGAACATGACAACAATGACGTGTTTCTAAAATCTTGTTTTAGATCAGTAAAAGCTTTTTTACTGTAGTCGCAATGTTATATTGAGTCACGTTATCATAAAACACTGATAAAAGCATATTTACCCCCACTTTATTCGTATTTAAATTGTATATGGTTATGTTGAACTTTATTCTTGAACAGATGGCGCCGTATTAAACAGTATATAAAAAGTGTTTCTGTTGCTCATGAAAACGTTTCTGAAACGTCTGTGTATTTGACAAATATTGCATTTAATTCACTTAATCTGTGACAGAGTCAGGGCCGTCCTTTGGGCGGTGTAACTGGTGCGGTCACACCGGGCCCCGCGGCGAACGGACCGAGGGGGAAAACCGGCCACCCCCCCAACCCGGAATGCGATCGCTAATGGACCGAGGGGGGCCCCGCTCCCTACCTCGCACCGGGCCCCGCGTCAGCTAAGGACGGCCCTGGAAAGAGTATGCAAACACTGCACGAGCGTCACTATTGGGAGCAGAAAGTGTCCGACTTGATGGCTCCGTTTTCAACTCCGCCCCCGACTGCAAGCAGCTACTCTCGTTGACTGCCGTCTGTAGCTGTGCTTCAAGTCGAACGCACCTAGATATTCCATCTCAGCACAGAATTTGAAAAATGTCCTGTGGATCCCTCCATTGATACATGTACGCTGTCAGTGACATTTATAGCGTTACAAATGATTCCAATAATTGCTGTGCTTTTGAATGTTCTATTCATTAAAGAATCTTGGGAAAAATGTATGACAGTTTCCAAAAAAACATTAAAAAGTACAAATGTTTTCATAATAAATGTTTCCTGAGCAGCAAATCAGCATAGAATGATTTCTGAAGGCTCATGTGACACTGAAGACTGGAGTAATGATGCTGAAAATTCAGCAGATATTCAGAAATAGTCTATATATTAAAATAGAATTGTAATAACATTTTGAAATATTACTATTTTTATAAATGAAGGAAAGAAGGAAGGAAAGCAGCCATTGTGAGACTTCTTTCAAAAACATTTAAAAACAACTACAAACTTTTGAAAGGTAGTGTATAGTGTAAAGTTTTGAATAGAATAGAATAGTACAGCGGTGGCGAACTCCGGTCCGGGAGAGCCGCAGCCCTGCAGAGTTCAGCTCCAACCCTAATTAAACCTCACCTGCCTGTAGCTTTCTAGTAACCCTTCAGACCTTGATTAGCTTGTTCAGGTGTGTTTGATTAGGGTTGAAGCAAAACTCTGCAGGGCTGCGGCTCTCCAGGACTGACGTTCGCCACCCCTGGTATAGTACATAATTAAATAAAAAATCAAAACCAGCAGGAAAATGAAGACCTTGAGTTCATTGAAGGCATTTAAGCTCTTTATCAACAATTTGACATCAATCCTAAAGCATTGTACTTAACTCTTTATGCTCAAATATTATGTTTTCATAACAAAATATTAACATTTTCCTCCTTTTAAGACCAAATTCCTTATGAGAATTGCTTCATAACAACACATGATCACATACCTACTTTACAAATGGGATTCTTATCATTAATATTCTTGTAGCAAAGTTATGCAGAATGACATTCCCTTGTAGAGGTTCACTGTCTATATCATTTACCCTTCCTGACCTTGTTATATAAGACTCTGAAGGCACTGAAGCAGATAATAGTGTAAACGGCTGAGCTGTACACCAGAGTGTGTAGAGAGGGTGTGTGTGTGTTTCATAAGGCATAGCTGACATTAGCACTGAAACATGCACTTAAGAGATAATATAGTTATAATCGATGGTCCTTTCTGTGCATGCCATGGTTTTATCATCCCCATTGTGTCTCTATTTCTGGCTTCTGTAATCATCAACATGAATGAATGAATCTTTGTTCACAATTGTAAATTACAGCTATTTATTAACAACTGAAATCACTGCTGAGAAAACAGTTTTATTTCTGATTTGTCTTGGAAGTCAGTTGGTTTTCTGTTCTCTCTACCATAAATAAATCAGTAAGAGTACATAAACAATATATCAAATGTTGCAGAGGAATCACAGGCTAGTTAGTGTAATGAAGTCATTTATAATGATCACATATTCATTAGTTTTGATGATCACACTTGTGCATGAACCTCACATCCCTGTTGAAAAAACCAGCATAGGCATGTTTTGAAGCATGGCTGCTGGTTTGAGCTGGTCAAGTGCTGGTCCTGAGCAGGAGCTAGTTGCTTAGAACCTCATGACCAGCTCAAACCAGCAGCCATTCTTCAAAACTAACCAGCATGCTGGTTTTTTCAACAGGGATTAAAGACTCTTACACACAAACCTGTCTGTGTGCCATTTATTAAAACAAAGCTTTTTGGTAAATGCCACATTCCACTAATACTTTTGGTGGCCTCTTTAAAAAAGGGCATTAAAGGAACTGTTGATAATTATCTAATGTAAAACTGACTTAGCATGACTAGTAGCTTGTTTATTTATTTATTTATTATTATTATTATTTACCTAACATTTTACAGCTACATTAATTTTGACATTCAATTCATGTTTGTTGCTAGAAAATTGTAAAATCACACAAAACAGGCAATAGATATTAAAAGCCCTTCCAAAAAAAAGAAAGAAACACCAGTAAGAAATATCTCAGAGCCATTACCACGGTTGTGATTCAGTATATCAGTACATTGTTTTGTAACATTCTGAATCATACACTCAATGAGCAACTCTGACATGCTATTTCATAACATCTTACCTTTGCAGTCTTCGTATGAGCGTCAAAGTTGGATCGTTTCTTTGCCGAATTTCAAAACAGAAGTGAGTTTTGCTATTAGGACGCGCTCCTGTGTTCGAAAAGAAGTTAAAAGGAGGAGGCTGAGGAGGCAGTATGGATGGGAAAGCTGAAAAAGGAGGCCTGTGTCTTTGTTTACCACGGTGAGATCTGCGTGTGTTTGAAATTGAACGCTATGTGTTTCAGGGCTTCTGCTATCACTCGGGCAAATATCTGATGGTCATAAAACAATGTTTTGTCAATTATTATTACGTGTCGTTCAGAACAGTTAGAAAATCAGTTTTAGTCTATGTTGTGATATTAGTGCCCTTTGTAGAACACGTGGTCACGTTCTCTTTTGGAGTAATAATCACCCATCTTTTACATCTCTGTGTTTTTGGTATTTCATTTATTAAACGTTTTATATGCTTCACATTGTGCACTTTTACTAGTTTATTCACTGACAAACAAGAACAATGAGCTGTACTATTACTGCTGATTATGTACAACAAAAGAGCACTGGGTGGAATAACCTGAACTGACAGCCCATTCGTTTGTGTAACAATCAGATTATTGTATGAGTTTGTGCGTGTTTGTCAGCATGGAGAGAGAATCAGATGGACGGACGAGAAATGCAGGGTTACTAGAGTGTAGATGACAGTCACTTCTGCTGAAGACATCAGACAGTGTTCAGTTTTCTGCATCAGATCATGAAGGCTCATTCTGGAAGGTCATGGCATCCCCTCTCCTGGTTTTAGCAGAGTTCAAGCATGGATTTTTAGGAGCTGATCCACCACGAACAGACACTGGATAAGGAGCATCATCCACAGTGAGTAGCTCATTCTGTGTTTCACTGGAGTTAAAGGGTTAGTTCACCCAAAAATGAAAATTAGCCCATAAATTACTCACCCTCAAGTCATCCTTATATTAAAGGATGTTATATTAAAAATTGTCTGTTTAATGGCACTCAGCGGGTGTTGCATTGCTTCAGTCCAAAAGAAGTGAAATAAAAAGCGCCCATCCATAAAATAAAATGTCTCACATGGCTCCGGGGGGTGAACAAAGGCCTCCTGTAGTGAATCGATGCATTTTTGTAAGAAAAATATCCATATTCAAAACGTAATAATCAGTTTGATGTAGCTTGCGCCAACAGTTCCGGGAGCATGACGTATGAGGTCAGCGTTGTGCATGCGCAGGTGAGTCTCGTGAAAACCAACATTTGTTTACAGGAGCAAAGGAAGCAAAGTTTCCTTACTTTAGCAAAGGAAAACCAGTCTCCTCTTGGTTTATATCGAAATCCTCCGACATTCTTCTTTACAAATCCTCGTTTTGTGCTTCTAATTAGTGACCGTTGTTTTGTTTTGATCTCTCCCCTGCGCTTCCACGTGCGTCACTTCTGAGCGGGCGCATGCGCAAAGCCAACCTCCATACGTCATCCGCCCGGAGCTGCTTTCAGTGTACAACTGTGAGTGCAAGCTACATTAAAGTGATTATTACGTTTTGAATATGGATATTTTTCTTACAAAAATGCATCGATTCACTACAGAAGGCCTTTGTTCACCCCCCGGAGCCGTGTGAGACACTTTTTATTAAGGATGGGTGCTTTTTATTTCACTTCTTTTGGACTGATGCACTGCAACACCCACTGAGTGACATTAAACCGCTTGAAAGATCAAAGACAATTTTTTATATAACTCCGACTGGATTCGTCTGAAAGAAGAAAGTCATATACACCTAGGATGATTTGTGGGTGAGTAATTTATGGGCTAATTTTCATTTTTGGGTGAACTAACCCTTTAATGCTGCTTTATAAAGTCTCTCAAATTCCAAACAATTAATTCTGTTATTTTAAATGGAAAAAATTACATATATATGATTGTTAGCAATATCCAATATTATATGATTATATTATTTATATAAATAAAATATAATAGGAAAATTACTTTACAGTTATATGGTGCATTTATTTACATAATTCCATTAGCCTACAATAAATTATAAAATAAAACTTCTTATTCCTAAAAATTTAGAAACCTTAAGACCTGACATAAGAGATTAGAGACATAAGACCTTTACAGTGTTATTTCCTCAGTCTTACTCCCTATTGTACTTTAGTTTATAGTTAAATAAATTACTTGAAATAAAACGTTAAATAAAACAAAATAAAATATTTTTTAAAAACTTTATATTTTATCTAGTTGAACTTGCCAGGGTAACATTTCCCATTATATTGTATTTAAATTGATGTACTCAAATAACTAAATCTAAAATAAAATGAATAAAAACCAAATAGACATATATATATATATATAAACAAAAAGTACTAAAAATGAGACAAATGCACAACAAAGTTACAAAAAACTTTACAAATTAAATGGAAAATCTAAAAATAAAAGCAAATATCAAAACAGAATATTAATCAAATTTACAATAGTATCTCAATGATACTAAATAACACTGGTGAATGCACGTTAAAGTTTTATAATATGACTGACATGTATCTGCTGATCTTGAAGGAATTAAATTAAATTAAATTTTAAGAATAAAAACTTTTAGAGTACAGTCTCTCCTAGGAAGTTTGACTTCCTAGATTTATTACACGTAATTTTACTGAATTAATTAAAAGAAATGTATAAAATAAATAAAATTAGTAAAAATTTCAAGCAATGTTACATCATAAAATGAATAAAAAATATGTGTGTATGTATTGATTTATTTGTTATAGTTATTTAACTATTTATTAAGTTAGATATTAGTTAGGTAATTTGCTAATCAGTGTAGAAGCTACACTTCTGTTACTGAATGCTTGTTGAAGCCAAATAACATTCCTGACATGTATCTGCTGCTCTTGGAGGAAGTTGGTGTATGATTGGGGTGGAGGATGAGGTCCTCTCTGGTGGTGTCTGGTGGAGAGAAGGGTCTGCGGGCGCGATTTGGACGAATGAGGCATCTGCTCTGCCAGATTGGGCATCATGTGGATGTGCAGATGGACGAGGAGCCTGGCATTTGGCTCAGGAGCTTCCATCTGCTGGACCTTGAGGAATGCATTGAGGTCAGTGCTGATGATGATCTATTGACAATTATATTTGCATTTATTCATTTAGTATGCTCTTTAATGCAAAGCAGCTGACAAATAAGCTGTATAAAGTATAAGGATCCAGAGCTAGCTAGAATTAAGCTTGGACAGAACAACAGTAAAGCAGCAAAGAGTACATCTATCCCTTCTAAACCTCTGATGTATATTTGTTGATTGCAATAAAGAGTTAATTCATGCATCCACTTTTGTTGAATTCACACTACCTTTCAAACCTTTTTAAACTTTATGATTTTATTTTTCTAATAAATTAATACCTTTATTAAGCAAGAACACATTAAATTGATCAAAAGTGACTGTGAAGCATTTATAATGTTACAAAAGATTTATGATAATCTTGATCAAATGTAGCACTGTTTCCACAAAAATAGTAAGCAGCACAACTCTTTTCAATATTGATAATAATAAGAAATGTTTCTTGAGCAAATCAACATATAAGAAAGATCTCTGAAAGATCATGTGACACTGAAGACTAGAGTAATGGCTGCTGAAAATTTTAAATTAAATTGATAATAAATTCACATAGAAAACAGTTATTTGAAATTGTAATAATATTTCTCAATATTACTGTTTTAGTCTATTTTGATCAAATAAATGTCTTAAAAAAAAAAAATCTTATGCGGTGTAAAAATCTTACTGACCCCCCCCCCAAAAAAAAATCTGGGCATTAGTGTATGTTTTCATAAATAAAACTAAACCAAAAATAAAATTATGGTTAAGGGGAAAAGGTGGTTTAGGTATTACATCACACCCACATGGTTAAAACTGTATTAAATATTTCAAATGTATCTACTACCATAGTAACATTCTTGTCAGGTAATACCTAAGCATGTCAATAATGAAAAATATTTTAACATTGCTGGCATGTACATTTTTTAAGCTGTTCTACCTGGCATTAAGACTTTGTTGCACCAGTGAATTTGACATTGAAATGAAGTATTTTAATTTAATTTCTTAATTTAAAATGAAGTAAAAGTGTGTTTTTTTGGTGTGTGTGAATGCACACACATCAGCATGTGACCTCTATCTTAGTAATGAGTGGTATTGTTTGTGGATATGCTTAAATACTTCTATCGTGATGAGGATCCAGAGCTAGCTAGAATTAAGCTTGGACAGAACAACAGTAAAGCAGCAAAGAGTACATCTATCCCTTCTAAACCTCTGATGTATATTTGTTGATTGCAATAAAGAGTTAATTCATGCATCCACTTTTGTTGAATTCACACTACCTTTCAAACCTTTTTAAACTTTATGATTTTATTTTTCTAATAAATTAATACCTTTATTAAGCAAGAACACATTAAATTGATCAAAAGTGACTGTGAAGCATTTATAATGTTACAAAAGATTTATGATAATCTTGATCAAATGTAGCACTGTTTCCACAAAAATAGTAAGCAGCACAACTCTTTTCAATATTGATAATAATAAGAAATGTTTCTTGAGCAAATCAACATATAAGAAAGATCTCTGAAAGATCATGTGACACTGAAGACTAGAGTAATGGCTGCTGAAAATTTTAAATTAAATTGATAATAAATTCACATAGAAAACAGTTATTTGAAATTGTAATAATATTTCTCAATATTACTGTTTTAGTCTATTTTGATCAAATAAATGTCTTAAAAAAAAAAAATCTTATGCGGTGTAAAAATCTTACTGACCCCCCCCCCCAAAAAAAAAATCTGGGCATTAGTGTATGTTTTCATAAATAAAACTAAACCAAAAATAAAATTATGGTTAAGGGGAAAAGGTGGTTTAGGTATTACATCACACCCACATGGTTAAAAATTTATTAAATATTTCAAATGTATCTACTACCATAGTAACATTCTTGTCAGGTAATACCTAAGCATGTCAATAATGAAAAATATTTTAACATTGCTGGCATGTACATTTTTTAAGCTGTTCTACCTGGCATTAAGACTTTGTTGCACCAGTGAATTTGACATTGAAATTAAGTATTTTAATTTAATTTCTTAATTTAAAATGAAGTAAAAGTGTGTTTTTTTGGTGTGTGTGAATGCACACACATCAGCATGTGACCTCTGTCTTAGTAATGAGTGGTATTGTTTGTGGATATGCTTAAATACTTCTATCGTGATGATCGTGGTCTAATAAGAGCTCAGTAGTGTGCGTCACCTATTGTTATGTTGTAGTGTCTCAGTGAGCGTGGGGTGGCCTGCTTGGATGCCATTGCACATTCACAGGTCTACGTCAGAGAGAACAGAAAGACATTAATGAACTATACCCAGAAACCAACAAACTGCTCATTGTATCATTCATTCAGCGTGTGTGTGTATGGGCTTTGTAAATAGGCATTTCATACAATTTTCACCATTATTCATTTAAGCATCTGCATAGTGGCATCTGAGTCATTTGTACTTTTCCTGGAGAAAATGGGCTGCGGTTTTATTTGCCAGTGGATCAGTACAATGCGATTTATACCTTGACCTAAACAATGAAACATCATGATGTAAAACTACTAAAGAAATATTTAAGATCCCGCATTATTTTGCACGATAGGCACTAATAAAAAAAAAATGACATGGGAATACATTTGGACAAACAGTCAGATTTCCTTTACTTCCTCTGATTGTTAAACTGATAATATATAAAACTGTGTTGCTTAATGAAAGTATTTCACTTAGTCTCAGACGTTTGGACTGCTTTATAACTAACAAAGAGAAAAAAAATGTAAATTATCAATTGTATGTTTGAATGAGTTGTTTATAAATTTGATGCCGCTTTAATTGTGTATACATTTAGTTCAATGTCTAGTCCTGTATTTTGCCTAAATTCTCATACCGGGAACTCCCAGAATTACATGGTAAAATAAAGTATTTCAATCATAATCTTAATTTTCAATTTTAAAATGATATAATGTGGATTTCCATACTTCCACACTTGACATTATGAATAGTACTATGCCTAAGGCATAGATTGTGAATATTAATTCAGCAATGCGAAGCCGCTTGGTGAACGTCCAGAGGTTCCACGCAACGTAATTAATATTCATAAATCAAGCCTTCGCCATAGTACGATGAGGCGCCGGATTTTCTCATTAATATTAATGAGCACGCCCCGTACGTCATACTAGACGTAATTGTGTACGTACGTATAGAGACCAACCCGCTGCAGTTTAAAGCGCTTGACAGGTGCGCTGTGCGCTATATAGACCGCTAAAACACAGACTTAATCATAAAAGTAATAATTTTCTGCGCTCACGGATTTCATTTTCCTTTAGACCACTATATATTTGATGACAATAAAGGTAGTCCTGTATGAAATGTACTGTAAGTTGTACTGTAAGTAATTCTTAATTAAACCTCACTTCGCAAAGTTATCCATTTCCAGCAGCTCTCCAAGACATGGCAGTCAAGTTTGACACGAGCAGCTGACTAAGGAATATAGTTTACAACGTTTTTTTGCTGCGCTAATGGAAAGTCTAAACTATTCTTACACTGCTTGATCAGACGGCTGAGGAAATCGAGAGCTGAAGACATGGGAAAATGGGAGTTCACTATGGTAAGTCGCTTGGTTAATTAAGCTATTTCAATAAAGGACATTAATTCTGTTTAATATTACTTTACAGGTTAGAACGACTAAAGAAAAAGCGACTTTGCAAACGCGATTTGTTGTAGCTTTTACAGAGTGTCGCGCGGCGCACCGTGTTATTGTTTCTCTTCATTTTAATGCCAGAGAAAATGCAGTATTTCCTGTTCTTTCTTTTCCGGACATCCCAGTACTGTCACAAAAACTCAATGGCTTTACAATTAGTCGTGATATTGGCTTTAGGAAAGCGTTTAATCGGCTGTTGACCAGAGGTGTCACATGTAATGCGTGCTGAGGTGTGGTGCACTTCACTTTTCCCTCTGGAGTCTCACAATAGAACTGATTTTGTGTTTGTTCTCAGACCCACCTGGAGATTGACGATATTTACAGTGTCCTGTTTCACTGTTGAGCTGCAGTGTTGGGGAAAGTTACTTTTAAATCATTTAAAAGTAATGCATTACAATATAACATAAAAAAGTAACTAATTACGTTACTTTTTATGGAAAGTAATGCGTTACGTTACTTTTGCGTTACTTTTAAAATCTGGACAGGGCTTGCTTGCTTGTTTTTAAAATAAAAAAGTAATATATTTGGCAAATATAAAAGCCTTTTCACACCAAAAGTGAAATGAATAAGCCTCAGGCTGAAGGGAAAGTAAATTTACGTCCGTACAGTAGAATGCAGAAGAAGACATTTCAACACACTTCAGCAATAAAAAAGACACACAAATGTTTGTCTAGAGTAATTTGTGCTTATTAGTACGGTTGAACTGGATCATCGAAGGTCAGAAGCAAAGACATTGGTTAATAGAATGGGATTAAATACATAAAGCATATTTGTGTTGTTTAACATTTTGCATTATTGAGTTGCATTATTTTTATTCATTTTGAGGAATACTGAATCTTTGTGGGTTTTTTGTGTGAGTGAGATGAATTAATGCATATTCATATTTATTTTAGATCTACAGTAACATCTGATTTCTCTCAACATGGGGACAGGAGAGCTGTCAATCAATAAATTGGAAAAAAAAGTAACTTGCGTTACTTATTTGAAAAAGTAACTCGGATATTCTCTTGCAAATTAAAAAGTAATGCGTTACTTTACTAGTACTTGAAAAAAGTAATCTGATTACGTAACTTGCGTTACTTGTAATGCGTTACCCCCAACACTGTTGACCTGTGATAGTTTCAGCTTTCCCTCCCCCAATCATTCCCTGTGTTTTGTTCCATGGCACAGTTTTACAGGAGACACAGGGCTTTGGCTTGGAAAGCTCTCTGTTTTACTTGACTGGAGTTTCTGGGAAGAATGCACTTGTGATTTTCACAGCAGTCGATTTGTTAGAGGAATAGACTGCCCTTGGTTTACTTCGAAGCACAACCTTTTCCAAATGTGTGGTTTGCATATTATGCATGTTCTGTGATATTCATTGAGCTTTTGGCAGAGAGCAGTGATTCTTGAGGCTTAGAACAAAACAGGGCACAGCAGTGATTGACTTGACAGCTTACATATTTTACATGCCACACGTGTATTCAATACAGCAGCATATTTTCTGGTGTTGCTGCTATACTAATAGGTCCCGCTTTAAATAAGGGAAATTATCTGAATAAATAAATAAAATACGTGATGTAGACTTGATGGTTGACATAGTTGTAAATCCTATCACAAATTATTAAAAAAATTTATAACAATATCCTACATGTCACATTTAAGGTCTAATTTTTAATATTCACCTCTTCCCTTTGTCAGGGCAAATTAGAAGTGTTTTTTAATTTTTTAAAATTAAATTAAACAATGTATTTTTCTTAGTTAATATAAGTTAATATACACTATCGTTCAAATGTTTGGGGTCAGTAAGTTTTTATGTTCAAAGATGTCTTTTGTACTTAAGGATCAAAAATACAGTAAAACAGTAATATTTTGAAATATTATTACAATTTAAAACAGCTGTATATTCAAATATGTATATTATGAATTGTCATTTTGTTTCTGTGGTGGTAATGCTGAATTTTCATCAGCCATTGCTTCAGTTTTTTAGTAATCTTTCAGAAATCATTCTAATATGCTGATTAAGTGCTAAAATAAACTTTTCTTATTATTATCAATGTTGAAAATGTGTTGCTTTATATATTTTTTGAAACTGTGATAGTTTTTCACGGTTCTTTGATGAATAGAAAGTTCAAAAAGACAATTATTAGAAACAAATCACTGTCACCTTTTGATAATTGTAATGCCTCCTTGCTCAATAAAATGATTAATTTCTTATTTAAAGAAACTGACCCCAAACTTCTGAATGGTTGTGTATTTTATATATATATATATATATATATATATATATATAAAAAATACACAACCATTCATATGTTCTGAGGATAGGAAATCTTGTAGCTTTTTTTTTATAGCAATTTTTTATTATTAAAAAATATAATAAATGCGGTGATAAAACATTCTAGTTGAATTCTATGATTGAATACAGTGTGGAATTATTTTTTAACTAATGGTATATAAATCGTTGGACATCCTGTGTCTCAAGAATCTGTGACAGATGACACCATTATGCTAATTTGTCCTCAAGCCAGTTGTTATGAGCTCATCTAATATTGGTCACATCTGAATTAGTCAACAACAACAACCGTATTTTGCCTGGAAGAGAAAACACTGGACTTAATTTACTCCAGTGTGTTACACAGTCTGTCTTTGTTTAAAATCATCAGGGTTTTTTTATTCACCCACAGCTGTTATTCATTGTGGGATATAGTATTTGCTATGCAAATAATCATGGCTTCATTTACCACCAAAGAGGATTTTTGTAAAGAAAGTATTTTTGTTATGGTTAACTAGTTATGGTTTGCCACCATGAAACACGTTAAATGATTTCTCTTCTTTCCTTAAAATGAAAATGCCCTTCTTGTGTGGGTATCATTAAACAGTGGTGTTATTATTTTTAATACTGTAAAAATGTTTGGTGTATTTGCTTATAACATGATCTGAACTCTGTATTGTACATGGTTTTGTTGAAAAAGCAGAAGCATCTGCTAAGAAAGAAAATGTAATGTACAATGTATTGTCTTCTCAGGCTAGTGAAGATAAAATGTATTCACTCCTCCTGACTTGTAATTTGGATAACAATTTGCCTGTATTTTCCAAAGAGCTCCCGTTTTGTATATTTCTTCCTGGACAGGTGAAATTTTAGGTCCGTGTCTAGCACCTTTTTTGTGTTTTCTAAAATAAATGCTGCAGTATCAGGACTGCAAAATAGAATCTTTTTGATGACATTGTGTTTGTTTCATAGCATTGCAGTAGGCATCATATCAAGCTTAATGATAGGTTCAAGGTGTATAGTCTGATGATCTGTTTGTGCAGGACCCGGTGCAGGAGTGGGGAGAGGAGGTGGAAGACGGGGCCATTTATGGCATCACTCTTCACCGAGAACCCATCCAACCCCCACCTGATGCGGCTGAGAACTCTTCTGCCTTCAGCTTCATGCAGTACCGCACACAGAAGGTCCGCAGGCTTAAAGCAGCCATTCTGGAGCGTCTTGTCACAGAATTGGTGAACCCGGAGTGCCCTGACCCAGAATACATGCAAATCTTCCTCTCCACCTACAGAGCCTTTACCTGCACAAATGCTGTCATAGAACTCCTGTTTCAAAGGTGAGCATAAATGCTCATTTAAAGAGTATAATTGCTGTCTCAGATGGTTATAGCGACATTAAGCTAACATTTACATTACTGTTCAAAAGTTTGGTGCCAGTATGATTTTTTAAAAGAAACCAATACTTGTATTCAGCAAGGACACATAAAATGTATCAAAAGTGCCAGTAAAGACATTTATTAAGACAATGTTACAAAAGATTTCTAGCTAATAAATGCTGTTATTATGAATGTTCTGTTCATCAGAAAATCCTGAAAAATGTTTCACGCTTCCACAAAAATATTAAGCACCAAATCAGCATATTAGAATGATTCCTGAAGGATCATAAGACACTAATTACTGGAGTAATGATGTTGAAAATTTAGCTTTGCATTAAAGGAATAAATTAAGTTTTAAAATATATTCACATAGAAAACAGTTATTTTAAATTGTAATATTTCACAAAATTACGTTTTTAACTGTATTTTTGATCAAATTAATGCAGCCTTGGTGAGCCTAAAGCACATTTTCATAAACATTTGTCTTTCTTAAACATTTGACTATATATTTTTTATGATATATAGGTATAGTCTACCCAAACAATAATTTGTTTTTTCATATGAAATTCAAAAATAGCGCAATGTTTACGCTTCTGTTTTCTGTACAGTAAAAGTGAACAGCAGCTAGGGTTGTCATGCTCCAATAAGAACCATAAAAGTATTCCACATTTGTTCCATCAAATACCATATAATTCTAGGAGGAATGAACCAAAATTTAGGTCCCATGTTGCTTTATATATAAACTGTAGCTAGTCATGTTTTTATTGTGCATCAGTGACAGTTATATATATGGGCTGTTTCCAAAACCTGAATGGAGGACTCAAGGTACCTCTGAATTTAATGTTTCCATAACATTCCATCATACCTTCATCTGGTGATATACCGCAAACCTGTGCCTTAACTGTTGGTAGAAGGAATAAAAATGTCAAGTTTTGCATGTCTTAGCACGTTAGACATGACGTTATGTGCATTGCAGGCCTGTCAGTTTCCTTTGGAGGTACCTTCATAAAGTCATTGACTGACTTCTGTTTCAGACACAGCCGTCCCTCATGTATTTATATATATATATATGAGGGAATTTACACGGCATACATTCTACAAGGCACAGTGACTGTGAATAATCAAATGAAGGGGGAAGCCCAAATTTCTAAATTCAGTATGAGGCAGAGTATTTCCCAGAGACACCTTTGATTACTGTGGAATTGTGACAGTCCATTATCACACAATACAAATCAGTGACGCAGTGGAATGGAGGACACCTCACTTTGTAAAACAGGTTTCACTTGACTTGTCTCACGTCAGAGGTGCTTTTGTTGAACCATGAGCGTCCTTTGTGTTTTGTTGAAACATAAATAAAGGTAATAGACCTTGAAAGAGCACTTGTGAAACATTTGTGTCAGAAATTGTTTCAGTGATCATAGTCCTAAAGCTTCTTTTGGAAGCGTTTTAGGAATGTTTTGAATATTAACTTTAGACTTACTTATTTGTCTCTGTAGAGAGGACACGGTCACCAATCTGGACAACAGTGTCTGCGTTAGAAGGTGAGTTGAATCCACGTGTTGGGGAATGTCTTGAAATATTTGATTATGACTTATCAGTTGTTATATTCTGTGGTCAAATGTTGTTCAATAATGAACCTTAAATTGAAACTGGTTGTCCAGTGCAATCATTATCTATTATTAGTAAGGTTAAACTGGTTACTCATCTTGATTATTCATTCTAATTCTCAGAGCTTTGTTAATTAGTCTGAAAGAATGCTGACAAATAGTGTGTGTGTGTGTGTGCGCGTGCAGTTCTCTGCCTCGTCTGATCCGGCTATGGTTAGACGAGTATCAAGAGGACCTTCGGGATTCTCCAGGTCACCAGGCTCTTCATCTGCTCTGTATTCATCTGCGTCATCGCCTCTGTTTCAGACGTCTGGTTCATCAAGCCGATGCACTTCTACAAAAATTTCAGACGGAAGGCAAGTCTTAAAGTTTAGCTGGTATGTGCACACACATCAAAAAATCAACGCTAAATAACTTATGACTCAACAGACAGGCACACAGATACATCAGCAGAAACCAGTTCAACTGCTGTAGAGAATCAGGCAACTGAAGACGCCACGGACAGACAGGACATAGAAGAGACAGGGGATGTACTGGTCTTCCCTGCACGAGACATTGCTGAGCAGCTCACACTATTAGATGCTGTAGGTGTCATGGTTTACATACTGAGGCTAGTTTTTATTTAAGGCCTACTTTTATTCATCTGCTTATGTTTCTTTATCAGGAGCTTTTTGTCAAAGTGGTTCCATTTCACTGCCTTGGCTGCATTTGGTCTCAGAGGGACAAGAAAGAGAATAGAAATCTAGCGCCTATGGTCCGTGCCACCATTGCCCAGTTCAATGCCGTCACTAACTGCGTTATCACCTCTCTGCTGCGCCCTCCTTCCACATCCCCTCCCGGTTCCCCATCCTGCACTCGCAGCGGCCCTACACACAGGGCAAAGATGATTGAGAAGTGGATCTCTGTGGCTCAGGTGCGTATAAGGCCTGAAACTTACTAGGCAAGTATGTGAATGCAAATTGGATTCTGAAATTTCAGATGGAAGCGCGCGTTGCACTTGTGCAGTTCTCAGCACGGCCACAAGGAGCACTATAATAGACATTATGAGGAAACGCTCTGCTCAAGTTTTCATAGCAACATTTTGCAAACAAATTTGCTGAGCAAGTTAAGATAGTTAAGCTGTTTGACATGTTTAAGTCTAACCACTTAATAGTTTTTAATGATACAGACATTTAAAGATATCATTACTCTGTGTTGGTACACATTTGATCCAAAAAGGGTAAAAGCCTAAGAGATAGATATATAACTACATATATATATATATATATATATATATATATATATATATATAATATTTTTTATTTTTTTTATTTTAAGCTGATTTGTTCTTTTTATTATCATTTATGTTACAGGAGTGCCATCAGTTGAGAAACTTCTCCTCTCTAAGGGGTGTGAATACTTTCCGTACCCACTGTATATATATATATATATATATATATATATATATATATATATATATAATATTTTTTATTTTTTTTATTTTAAGCTGATTTGTTCTTTTTATTATCATTTATGTTACAGGAGTGCCATCAGTTGAGAAACTTCTCCTCTCTAAGAGCCATCTTATCTGCTCTTCAGTCTAATGCTGTTTACCGGTTAAAGAAAACTTGGGTGGCAATCAGCAGGTAGTGTCTTCTGATCCTTACACGGATAGTTGCTAAACCTGTAGTGCAATGTTAAGAGCACATATTAAATTTGCACAACACATGGTATTACATTTAAATGGATAAATTGTGTAATTTCAGGGAGAGTATGGCTGCCTTCGATCACCTCTGCGACACATTTCCTGATGAGAACTGTGTGCTGGTCAATCGAGATATTCTTGTAGAGGTAAGTTTCACAGATTTGCCTGTTTTAAACCTGTTGTCTATTCTAATCTAAATGTTTAGGGTCAGTAAGATTTTGTAATGTTTTTGAAAGAAGTCTCTTATGCTCGCCAAGGCTGCATATATTTAATCAAAAATACAGTAAAATAGTAACAGTAAAATATTATTACAATTTAAAATGTTGTCTATTTGAATATATTTAAAAAGGTAATTTGGTAAATGTTATGAAATCGATTCTTTGATTAACAAAGTTCAAAAGAAAAGCATTTATCTGAAACATTAACTTAATAACATTATAAATATTTTTACCGTCATGTTTGATCGTTTTAAAAATACACATTTCTTAAAAAAAAAAAACTTCCATCAATATTTGGCCTACAGTGTGCAAACAGATCCCTCTAATGATTTAACATCATGTGTAAGAGCTGATAGCAGTGTTGAATCTCTGTTAACTGTTAAGTTTGGTGCCTGACGAAGACTTGATGGTCAAAACGTTGCCGCAATAAATAATTTTTATGGAGCAGTTACATCAGTGTGCAGACAATACGTTTGTATTTTTGCTATAGTTTGAATTTTTTTGTCCTGCACCTGAGCCCTGTGTGGGTTTGTGGGATGTGCGCAACTTTCTTACACTTTGGTTTTTGAATCTCTGATAAGACAATGACATGATCTCATCCCATGGCTTTTTACGATCTTTAAAGATGCTACCAGGCAACATTCAATATTTTCCACACCGTTTTTCACTCTAGCTCGCATGCAAAGAGTAAATCAGTAGAGCTAAATGAAGATGTGGTTAAAAAATGCAGAGTCATCTTATTGGCAAAGAAACCATTATGGAGGCACAACATCCCATAATGTTCTGCAGTGTTCAGTGTATAACAACAAAGCATTCATTGTTGTTATCTGTGCTGGCAATTAATAATCTATCCCACTCCTCTTTGACCTCAATCTTTATCATGCTCTGTTAAGTAATTGTACTTATCTTGAATTGTGGCATTTCTTTGGGTGTGGAAGATTGATTTTGAATGTTTTCTAAAGTGATTTATGTAAATGTTTCTCTAGGCCAGTTGCTTCAGTGTATCTAGTGCTCTGTTTTTAATCATATGCTCATCTAAATCAGTTTCCCTGTTTGCATTTCAGTATGCCAAATGTCCTGTTATCTATTTTTTTGTGATTTGATTTAGGAAGGAAACCAGGCAGCTGATGTAGACACTCACACCGCTCCAAAGTCTCCCAGACTCAGTCCTACATCTAAGCACATGGTAAGAATCACTGGCATTTTTCATAAAAACAAGGCCCTGCTGAAAGTAGTGCATTTGTATTATTTAAGGCCATTGGCATAAGTTGCTGTTAAAAAATATGATAAATCTGTTGTTTCTGGGAAATAACTACTCTTTTTAGGAAGTATGCTTCTGCACCGGCACATTTACTGGCTGCTCTAGTTTGACTCAAGTAATTTCATTTCCATTATGAAACTCTGTCTCAATGTGAATCTGCCAACTCATTAATTAAAACACCGAAAAGGGTATTACCATAATACTTAAAAATACCATAAAAATATGTTAAAATAGAAAACAGTTCTTTTAAATTGTAATAACATTTCACAATACTACTAAAATTGATTGAGCATAAGAGACAAAACCATTCAAATATCTCGACTGTTACTGTATTTTTGCCTGACAAGTTAGTTTTTTCTGGCAGACCCCCTCCAGCGGTGAGGTGCCGTACCTGGGCACTTATCTGACTGTTCTCACCATGTTGGACACAGCACTAAGTGATGATGTAGAGGTGAGAATTTTTTCTGACATTAATTCATATATATATATATACACAGTCATTTTTTTCTTCAGTTCCGACACGTTTTATTTTTTATGGTAACTATCTTGTAAATTGTAATAACATTTCACAATACTACTAAAATTGATTGAGCATAAGAGACAAAACCATTCAAATATCTCGACTGTTACTGTATTTTTGCCTGACAAGTTAGTTTTTTCTGGCAGACCCCCTCCAGCGGTGAGGTGCCGTACCTGGGCACTTATCTGACTGTTCTCACCATGTTGGACACAGCACTAAGTGATGATGTAGAGGTGAGAATTTTTTCTGACATTAATTCATATATATATATATACACATAGTCATTTTTTTCTTCAGTTCCGACACGTTTTATTTTTTATGGTAACTATCTTCTTTGTGCTCACAGGGGGGTCTCATCAACTTTGAGAAGCGTAGAAAAGTAAGCACAATCATCCCACATATTGTTTCAGTGGAAAGCTAGGTTTTATAACAAATGCTAGTGTGTCAAGAGTGCTGATGTGTGTTTTTCCATTCCTTTCTGTGTTCAGGAGTTTGAGATTCTGTCTCAGATCAAGCAGCTGCAGGCGTCATGCGCTCACTACAAACTCCAATCACATCCTCGCATCATTTCCTGGATCAACAGCGGCATACCTCTTTCTGATCAGAAGAGGTGAGGCACCTCTTGCACATTATGATGATTATATTCAGTTTGATGATCAGTTTTCTGCTAAGAATGTTGGTTGAGATTAAATGACTTCTGAATTCAAGGCAGTAGTACATTGGGTACTTCAGAAGATCAGCATCTCAGATATTTAGATACCAACTGTTAGTCTTTTTTTTTCTCATTAGCTATGAGTTGTCAAGAGAACTGGAGCCACCAGTTGACCCCTGTCCCAGCTCTCCCAACCCCTGGAGCCACCGGCTCATCACCAAGAAACTGACCTCGTGAGTGTTGTTTTGAGATGCAGTTTCGACTCATTTTGTGGACCCAGACTATTCTAAAAGTAAAAAGACATTTTGCTAACATGTTTTTCTGTGATGCATATTTCTCTTCTGCTCAATGCAGGTTGCTGTCTGGCAGTGAGAACTTCTCAAAGAAGACTTTTGCTGATCAGATCAGTGTATCATCCTCTGGCTCCAGTGGCTCAGAGATGGAAGATCTCAGCAGCCCCAACCTCTCACCACTTAGATACAAAGTACAGGTAACAAAACTGCAGACCAGAGCTGCAGACTTTTGTTATTTATTACCTCATATACTCTATAGATGCGACTATATATATATATATATATATATATTATATAAGTGTAGGCTGTCAGTCGTCAAATTTAAAATACTTATTGAAATAAATTATGATGTGCTGAATCCATCAGTAGAACATAATGACCTATATTTGCTGAGAAATTACATTATATAAAGCAAAAAAAATTACAAAATTGGGGCTTTAAAAGGTCAGTATATTTATGGCTTTATTTCCATATTGTTGAACATCCAATTTGCAGAGTCCAATTTGAAAATCCCTTTGATTTTGTCAATATGTCTGATGTAGATGTAGCTGTTCACACAGACTTCATTCTGTCTATTTTTTTTCTAGTTTATACTATACACTAGTGTGTTTTTTTTTACTAAAATAGTTTTTAGTCATTGAAATAAATATACATTTTTTAATGAAGAATTTAAAAAAATTATTTCATTTGTATGTTTTTGTACTAAAGTAGTACTAAAACTGAAATAAAGCTAAATAGAAATATAAAAAAATTAATTAAATTAATGAACTTAATTAAATTAATTAAAATTACTCAAATTTAAACTAAAATTAAAATGAAAACTGAAAATATAAAAATAAAAGTTAATAAAAAATATTAATAAATACTATAATAGTATATAAACAACACTAAAACAACACTGATGTACACATGCGTCAGACGGATGTCTTGCCGTATTTTCAGTGTCTTTCAGTGCATGCGGGTCAGGGGGTTTAATTAAATTGTACTTTTTTTATTGCATTATTTATTTGTAATTAAATGTACTGAATCAACAGGCCTAAATCTGATAGGTCTAATATTATCTCAAAACCTATTTTGACTATTCGTTTATACTGAGGCCTTTAGGTTAGTAAAATTCATTCAGGTGTTTGTGACTTTTTTTTTGTTTCGCCTTAACCTTGCAGTCATAAAGTAGTTCCAAGTTTGCATCAACCCAGAGCTTCAGTGAAGTTGACACAGAACACAGTGTATTAGATAATACCGCCAGCCTGCCCCGACAGCCCCTCCCCTACTTCATCTGCATCATCTTCATCATCCTCTCCTTCTCTCAAACATCCCATGTACAACAAGCAGGTCGCTGATTCTTGTATTGTCAGAGTCAGTGTGGAATTTGGCAACAATGGAAACGTTTATAAAAGTATTTTGGTAAGTTGGCTTTAATATTTGGTGATTTCTGCGGTGTCCATGCTTCTCATCTTTTTCATTTATTTATTTATTTGACATATTTATAGTGGCAATAAGTCTCTAGCTTACTAATAGGGCGGGGTAAAAAATATCAATATCTCGATATTAATCGATTTTTATGGAAAGATGTTGATTCTTAAATCTCAAGAATCGATTAGTCTAGTCTGTTTTCAGTTAATGGACGGAAAATTGAAGGGCACTTTCCATCCAATATATCACAATAAGCATTGTGCTGTGGTACTTTTAATATGAAACAAGGTCTCAGATTTCAAATTATGTCCATTGTATTGCAATATTCAAACAATAAATGCCGTTTTGGCGCTGTTTAATGTGGAGTGACAGATCGCTGTCGTGCCTCAGATCAATAGACGTGGCAGCGCATAGCGCAAGTGAACTGATCATCTCCTCCGCTTTAATACCAGTTTCAGCACAAAATAAACATGACTAAACATCCGAAGGCAAGTTAAAAGAAAGAGTACAACTTTACAATCCGTATTCTGTCTCATGTAATCGCTCAATCAGTGTTTCAGCCGCACAAAGACGTCAATATAACGGCTTGTAAACAATGTCACGTAACGTCACATTTACCTCAGAAAAAACATATTCGGTGACCATAAACTCATTAGTCACATAGAAAAATAAACTGCAGAGGGGCATTTTGCTAAATATATGCACCATATAACATATTCATTATATATTTTACTGTTCTTCAATGTTTCATTTATGTTTGAATAAATCCATCAAGTTTTTATGACAGCCACCATTATGTTTATATAAAAAAAAAACGAATTGAAGTAGAAATATTATTATTATTTTTAAACTTAGTGTAATTTTAAATCAGTCAATTTTAACCTTCAATATTATAGTAATGTAGACTAGTACCAACTGAATGTATATTTTACAGTATTAGTCGAGAGATTTTTTAATTGACAAATAACAAGGAAACTGTAGCACAGCTGCCACAACAACAGTTCTGATTTCAAACTGGAGGAAGAAAGACTCCGAGCATCTGAAATGAAGACCTATCACAATTTGAGTTGAATTACTGAAATAAATGAACTTTTCCACGACATTCTAATTTATTGAGATGCACCTGTATGTACCTACTACCATTAAAGCAGCACAATTATGTAACTTTTGGCGCTCTAGCGGTTAATAAACAGAACTGCACACATCCCGCGGAAGAACATTCCAACCGGAGCTACTTCTCTAAGTTTATGTCTATGGCGATTCACGCAGGTATGTGTTACTCCGCAGCGGCGACGACCCGACCAGGCTATAATAGTCCAAATATAAGTACTTGTTATCGTAGTGATTCGGAATAAGACAAAAACGCGGGTTGGAAGATGAATTCATGATGTACTCGCTCATTATATACACTTTGCAAATTTTGAACACAGAAAAAGTGACATAGTGCTGCTTTAATTGGCTTAATCATTTACAAAAAGCAAGAACTACACATTAAGCTTGTTTTTTTATATGCGCTTTTTGTTATTCATATCAGAATCTGCACTATATTAAAAATATTAGATAATATATTAATATGTGATGGTATTATGTGGCATCAAGAGAAAAAGCAGAATTGAAATTAAAACATTTCTTAACCTGTTTTGTGGCTTACAGGTTTCCCTCTCTGATTTTCTTGAACAGATTCAATGTGAAAAATGCAGAATTCCTTAACATACATTTATCTTGTTACTGTTCACCCCGTCCATTTCTGAATTTTTTTTAAATTAAAAAAGTGCAGTAATGATGAAAAACGTAGACCTTTCAAATTGTATGTATTTTATCGAGATTAAATTAGTATTTGATTGTGAAATAGTGTTGTAAACTTTAAAAAATTAACATTTAACATACATGTATATATAATTATATTATACTACAGTATGTATTTGTTTTGTAAAAGGTTGATCTGTGAGAAGATATGACAACACTTTAAGTTATTAACAGCTACATACAAGTCTTATGTAGGCTATTTATTCATACACTTTTTATCCTACTTTTTTCAGATTATATAACCCCATTTGAACCCAATCATAACGTATCTCTAACTTGACTTGTGAAATTAAAATGAAAACTCTACTATTCTAGGAACACTCTAGAAGGCAGAAAAAAATATCGAGTTTTAATGGTTACAAATTCTTAGTAATATGCAAACACAAATGTAAAATAAAAATGGTATGATCAATAAGTCATTCAAACATGTTTTTACATTAACTAATCAAAATAAGTTAAGCAATTCTTAAGCTCCTGTTTTTAAGTCAGTTTAATTTTATTTAATTTATATTGCAATTACCTATACAGTATAAGTTGACTATTACAGTGGAGAAATTTCAACAGTGTTAGATTTGCAATAACAAACCTTCTGAATGATAACCTAAAAAGCATCACAAAAATTATCTTTGTGAGTTTTTTTTTTCTGGTAATGATTTCTGTACTGTCTAATAATTGGTGACTGTTACTCAAAAGACAGCAAGAATAAACCTATATGAAAAAGCAGAAATCTTTACATCACTTGAATGAGTTTGAAGAACATAGACTTATATACTTAGAGTAAAAATGGGTAACATTGTGGTACTATGTAATTTTGACCTGTTAGACCAAACTGTATCAATATGTCAGCTGATCAATATGCTTTATAAAATAGAAAGAAGAGGAGCTCAATATCACACTTTATTAAACATTTATAGTCAGTTATTATGAAATAAAGAGTGGTAACGTTTTGATAGCTAGCCTATATGAAATTTTACTTGTCAGATTCAGTGACCCTGGTCAACTGCAATCATAATCATTTCTAAGGAACAGTAGATCTCCAACATCATTGGGTAATTACAGGATCTAGTAATAAGAATAACGATAAGATCTACATTTATCAGATAATCAGAATATGTTATACAAGAGCTAAAACATCTCATAAGGAAACCATTCTTAGTAGTAGACTAACACATTAGCAGACAACAGCAGCAGCATTAGGCCTAATGTTTTCTTTCTTTTCTATAAGCATTTAGATGCCCGTGACAATATCTAGCTTGTTTTCTTTAGTCTTAAAGGGGTCCTATTATGCTCTTTTACAAAGTCTTGATTTTGTTTTGGGGGTGTACTAGAACAGGCTCTCATACTAGGTTGTTTGAAAAACACATTATTTTCCACATATTTTACATTATTACAACACCTCTCTCCCCAGTCTGGCATGAACGGCTCGAATAGTTCCTGTATCAAATGAAGGCCCGCCTTCTGAAATACAAAATGTGCTGTGATTGGTTAGCTGGGCCAGTGTGTGCTGTGATTGGTTAGCTGGGCCAGTGTGTGCTGTGATTGGTTAGCTGGGCCAGTGTGTGCTGTGATTGGTTAGCTGGGCCAGTGTGTGCTGTGATTGGTTAGCTGGGCCAGTGTGTGCTGTGATTGGTTAGCTGGGCCAGTGTGTGCTGTGATTGGTTAGCTGGGCCAGTGTGTGCTGTGATTGGTTA